CGCTCGATGTTGTTTACGCTCTTAAGAGACAGGGCCGAACCATTTACGGATTCGGAGGATAAATGCGATGTGTCTGAGTCGTATTTTAATGTGTATTTCAGATGTCGTTTGATCAATAAAGCAGAGCCTTTTTTAGCATAATGAATTGTTTGTTTCTGTTTCGCTTGTTTGATTGCGTTTCGCTGACAATCGCCGGGTTTCCACCCCCTGATGAGCTCTGAAACCCTCAGTTTTTCCAAAACTGTCGCCCACTCAGGCTCGTCCCTTCCTCTACGTTTCCTTTTCACACACACACCCTTGACCTTCACACCACTCAACCCGATCACCAAAACTAACTGTGAGAGGAAGTGCTCTGAATATAAGTTGACAGCTCGATTGAACATCCATGACTTCGTGGCGCAACGGTAGCGCGTTCGTCTCCAAAGCGAAAGGTTGCGTGTTCAAATCACGTCGAGGTCATTTTGCGTTTTTTCCGATTAATTTGGATGGTTTTTGTCTGTGTATTCTTTTTGGAGGTTTTAACTTATCTGGATGTATTTAGTTGAAGATTATTCCTGACTGGAAAGTATTACGAGCGAGTGTGCGATTCCTTGCCAGCGAAAGGCTTGTCCCACGAAAAAAACATTCTTGAAACCATGTCGATGTGAGTCTTTCCCGCCAACGACCCGTTCTCTCCCAGCATCATTGGGACGACACCTCGGCGACGCATTCTGATTCCTTTCACTTAGCACTTGCACCCTCGGAGACATTTTGGAGATCCTCCTCGCCATCTTCTGTTCGCCCATCGCTGTCCTCGTCAAGGAGGGCTGCGGGTGGGACTTCTTCCTCAACATCATCCTGTTCTGCCTCGGAGTCTTGCCAGGTAAAGCAGGGTTGTTCATCCCCTTGGCTTGGTGATCCGGTTTCTGATTCCTTTTTCCAGGAATGGTCCACGCTCTGCTTGTGCTCCAGAACCACCAGCGCCGCGCCGTCCACTACACCGTCGTTTAAATCCTCTTATTCGTTCTCCCTTCTTTCCTACGGTGGAATAAAAATCATTCGAAAAAAGATGTGCGAATCCGATCCAAACAACGAAGCTTCCGTTTTCTCACCGCCCCCACTTCCGCCCATACCGTATCTTCCCCCAGAAGCATGGTCGCACATCCACGACGTGCACTGCCACGTGATTGAAACCCCATCCACCCTCGCCTCACTTCCAACCCTCCAAACCTCCAAGCTCTGGCTCATGGGCACAAAGCCATCCGATTGGCCCCTCATCGAGCAATGCGGAAGCGCTGTTTCCATGGCCACACGCGTGGTGCAAGCGTTTGGAATTCACCCGTGGTTTGCTCACCAAACCATCGACTCGGGAGAGTCCCTCGCGGCACTACGGATCCTGCTCGATCGCCATCCGGCGTCGTTTGTTGGTGAGATTGGGCTCGATGGGGTCGCAACGCATCCGGGAACGGCTATGAAATACGATATGACGCAGCAACTCGACTCGTTTCGAAGCCAATGGGCACTCGCGGCGGAACTCAAACGGCCCGTGAGTGTGCATGCGGTGGGGTGTTTTGGGAAGCTTGAAGAGTTTTTTGCGGAATGCTTGCGGGATGTGCCTAAGGACGTGTCGCGGAAGCAACGGGAGAAGCTCAAAAAGGCGGGTCTCGTTGTGGAAGAGGAAGACGAGCATCCGTCCCTTGCGAAATGGCCTCCTGCAATCATGTTGCATTCGTACAGCGGATCCGTAGAATCGATTCGGAATATCTCACGATATCCAACGGCTGTCGCGTCGCGCTTCTACTTTTCGTTTTCGCACTTTGTCAACAGTCGCACGCCGTTTGAACGCATGCGGGAAAAGATACGTGCAGTACCGGATGACAGGATTCTCGTGGAGAGTGATTTGCACAATGTGGAACGCGTCGATGAGGCGGTAGCGTTGGCCGTGGAGTTGGTGGCGAGAGCGAAAGGGTGGTCGCTGGAGGAGACTGCCGTGAGGACAGGGGCGAATGCCATGCGGTTTTTGTCGAGGATAGGAAGATAGTATCGCTTGTCGAGCTTGTGGTATCACCAGGATTGGGGATCACCTCATTTCGACAATTACAATTTTTGTGCTTCTTAAGAGCCGACTAAAGAAATGAATTAATTAATTGATTTCATTTATTATTATTTCCCAAAGCAATGTCTTTTGTTGCCAGCCACGCGTACTCTGGACTCGCCGTGCTGTTCCTGTCGCCGGGCACTGCTTCGAAGACACTTCCGTTTCCGTCCGAAAATGGCCTTGTTCTTTTGTCGCGCCGCCTTTCGTTGCGAAACTCGACGCGGCGCTGGCTGCGCCGCGCAAAAGTCGCCTTCACAAAAAAAGACGTCGACTTTGCGCTGCTGCCCAGAACCAAAATCCCCGTGGTCCAGTGCCGCGCAGAACTCGTCTCTGACTCGCATTTCATCATCAAGCGCCTTGTCAACGACAACGCAATGAAGGACCCCGACGAGTGGCTGGACGCCACAACAAGAGCACACGCCCACTTCTTTCGCTTGGCCATCGAGAACTTCATCTATTATCGTTTGGTTTATGAGCGCTGGGTACAAAACTGGCAACACACGAAACAAGAATATTTCAAACCCCAAATGCCCTGGCTCATTTACCAAATCGTGCCAGACTGGTTGTTCCAGCCAAAAGTCGCTTCCATGTTGCACGCGAACGGCACCTCTCGCTACACGGAACCAGAATGGCAAACCATGGAGAAGGAGTTTTGGAAACAAGCATCCGAGATTCTCGACATCAAAAAGTACTTTTTCAGCAACCAACACATGTGTGAGGCAGATTTCAGCGCGTTCGGCTTGCTGGTGAACGCGTTGGAGTATCCAGAATTAAACCCCAGCTTGTGAGCGACCGTGAAGCGGTTTCCGAATTTAGTCCAGTTTGTGGAGGTTGTCAAGAAGGAATTGTATCCCGAGGTTGAATTTTGAATAAATACTTGTGTTTTGAATTGTTGCAACAACGTGGGGTCCATAATAAGGGGCCTGTTCTTGTGAGGCCAGGGATTCGAGGTCATCCGACGCGTATTGTTCTTGAGCAAAAGAGAAAAAGGGAACACAATTCTTTTCCAGTCCAAAATCGATTATGTAAATGCTCTAAAAGGGTGGGACTTTACCGAGTGTCTTGGGATACCAGTCGACGAATCTGTTGGATTATATGCACTCTTTCTTTCGATATTGACTATATCAGAATTGTAATAGGAGAAGGAAGGGAGAAAAACTCAACCATTACAAGGGGTTTTTTTTATTTACTTTCCAGAAAAGGGTTTTTCAAATTCCACTTGCTCTATTAAGTTAAATAAATCACATAATTTCTTTCCTTCACAATTTGTGTGTTTCTTATATCCGGCAGTTTGATACATCCAAACACTTCCATTCTCCATTGTGTAATGAACCTGGTACGCGTATCTTCAGTCGAGGTGCTAGTTCATTTACCAGTATTGAGGTGGAATGTGTGTGTGTGCGTGTGTGCGTGACCTTTGCTGTGATTTTCGTGACAAAGTTGGCAGAGGAAACGAGAAAACGATTTCTTTTTCGTCGCATTGCCAGTTATCGTGAAGAGAAGCAATCAGCATTAACATTCCAATCGATTCCATCTACTTCCTCTCCGCCGCTGCCCCCTCCATTTCCACATCTTGCCCACCCTCCTGCACCATCGCCACCGCATCCCGATTCGCTCGTTGCGAGAACCCCAATCCGGACCACACACTCTTCCATGGCCCGAACAAACTCCCCAATACACTCTTCCTTTCTTTCCCCACACCCCCACCTTGCTCCTTCTTCACAATCCCACCCCTCCCACTCCCCTTCTTGACAACCACCTCCCGCGTCACCTTGACCCTTTGCGGCCACTTCCTGCCTAATCTGCGACACTCTTCCAACGCGGATTTTACTTTTGTGGCGCCTGATGGCGTTAACGCGGAGGTGTCAAAGGTTCCATCGTGGGGGTCGATTTCGACGGTGAAGATGGAGTCTGTGCGTTTGAGATGGGTGCGTGGGGGTTGGGTGTAGAGGGAGTCGTCTTCGGTGTTGGAAAGTGTGTCTTGGATGGTAGCGGTGCCGTGGGGAGCGGGGGGGCCGAATTCGGATTCGAGTTCGGACTTTTGAGTGTCGAGGGGCGTGTATTTTTGGACGTCTTGCATTGGTTCGGTAGTGGAGGGGTCGAGAGATTCGGTGGGGAGTGATTCTACGCGTTCGGGAGAATCGGGGGCAGGGAATTCGCAGAGTGGGGAGAATGGGGTGGATGGGATGGATTCTTCGGCTTCCTCCTCGTTATGGTCGTCTGACGCGTGAGTTACCGAAACGGGCACGGAATCACGGACGGAATTGATGTTCACATCCTCCTGCGTCTGCGTGCCGTTCGAATCGGTCACGAACACAGAGACGTGCGTCGTTCCTTGCACTCGTTCGACAACCATTTCGGCGCGTTCCGTCCCGGGCAACGTCGCATTCATGTCACACTCCTCCTCCCAATCCGAGTCATTCGCATCATGGAGATTGCTCGCTTCTCCTTTGACGGAACTCGCAACCACTTCCTCTTCCTCGTCCTCACAAACATCGCCGCTCAAATCACTGCTCGCAACCACTTCCGAATCCCCCGTTTCAGTGCATGGCTCGGAAGGCGGTGGAGTCGATTCGGCGAGGACTTGGTCACTTATGGGAGCTTCGGGAGTTGCAGATTCGATGGGTACGAAGGAGGAGTGATGCGACGCGGAGAGGGGTTCAGTCGGGGTTTCGACAACGAGGAGCGAGTCGATGGAGACTTCTTGGATCGAGACGGGGAGAGAAGAGGTTTCGAATTCGTCTTGGGTGAGTCTAAAGCATGTTTTGTGTTGAGCGAGACTCGGACAAACAAAAACAACGTGCAGTCGGGTTCACCTCACAACACTTGCATCCTTCGGGTTCTTGATCCCACTCGTCTTCAACATGGTAGACACGAGGTGAGCGTCTTCGAGCACCTTGAGTTCGTGCTGGATGGTCGGGGTTTCATGGTGCGGGTCTTCGGAGGGAAGGTCTTCTGAAAGCATGTTTGGGCAGTGGGTTTCGAGGATGCGGAAAGTTGCTTTTGTTTCGATACGGAAGGGCTCGGCAGAGGATTTGGTGAAGAGGGCGAAGCGGTGGGCGAGGGGGGAGGGCGTCGACGCTGAGGGTCTTTTGTTCGGATTTGAAAATCGAAGCGAATAAATGGAAACGCACCAAACGACACGTTCAGACTTCGAGTGGAAAACAAGCCACGCGAAAGGCCGTGTTTGAGCACAAAGGAGACGATGTTCTGTTTTCAATTAGAAAAGGAGAGAGAGAATCAAGGCTTAGCCACCTCGAGTTCTTTTACAGCTGAAGGAGTGAGCAGCGTGTGTTCTGGCCTAGAAAGTGTTAGGATTTGCTAGGATTTGCTAGGTTCTGCCAGGCGTGGTTCTCACATGGCGATGGTTGCTTGGACCGCC